TGTTTTTTTCCAGGAACCTGCTGGTGAACCTGGGGCTCTTCGCCGCCGGGGTCTGGGTCGCCCGGAACCTGACGGACATCGACCTGATGGCCCCGCAGCCCGTCCCGTAGCAGCGGTGGGTGCGGGGGGGTCTGGGGGGACCCGCGCTGGCAGAACCTCCTCAAGCCCCCGGGGAGGGGGTGTCACCCTGCCAGGTCATCAAATCATAGAGTCCCAGGCTGGTTTGGGTTGGAGGGACCTGAAACTCTGGCTGCAACCCCCTGCATGGGCAGGGACACCTCCCAGCAGCCCAGGCTGCTCCAAGCCCCATCCAACCTGCCCTTCAACACTGCCAGGGATGGGGCAGCCACAGCTTCCCTGGGCAACCTGGGCCAGGCTCTCACCACCCTCACACCAAAGAATTCCCTCCTCATCTCCAACCTCAATCTCCCTCTCCCACTTTTCATCCATCCCCCTCATCCCATCCCTCCCTGCCCTTGTCCCAAGCCCCTCCCCAGCTTTCCTGGAGCCCCTTCAGGCACTGGAAGCTGCTCTCAGGTCTCCCTGGATCCCTCTTTTCTGCAGGCTGATGTTAAATTGCTGTGTGCCTGTTAGAAACCACCTTGTTTAACTCTGCTTAATTGCTGACCTAGGACAGAAACAGCCCTGCAAGGAGAGAGAGCTCATCCCCCCCAGGAAGCCCAGAGGAGCCCTGTTCAGCTGTTGCACCTTCCCAGGAGGATGTGCTGTTCTCCTCTGAGCTGCTGCTCACACTTCAGAGCTCTCATGCCTGGAGCAGTTCCAAGAGGGGAAAAAGCTTTTCAAGTGTGAGGGAGAATTTATTTTAAATTCTTTCTGCAAGGCACAATGAAAATACTTTTATCAAGGATGTGAAGCCATCATGGGTGGGATTTTCTTCTGTACCCCTGTCTAGATGTTTATTAAAGGCTGTAGAATAACGACACAACCCACTGGAATTTCTCTCTCTTTTTTTTTTTTAATAAGAAACTTCAGCTTTTACAAAAACAAGGTGTAAAAAGAGTAAAGATTTACAAAAAAATCATAAAAACATGATTTATATTTTACACCCGAAAGACAAAGGAACGAGCCCAGTCCTGGGTTGTGAGCAGGACCCATCAGCTACTGAAAGGAAAAACAAAACTCTGACAAGCCCTAGGTAAACTCTAACCACCAGAATGTGTCCTGGAGAAGGTCTGGATGAGATAAAGCTGGGACACTGAAAGGAATGATGACTGTGTGGGAAGGAAGAAGCTGTTGCATAGCATTTCAGTGCCCTGGACTGAGAGGACAGCTCACCCTGACCAGCTTTTGAGTGCAGGGGTGGGTGGTGAGGCAGTCTGGGGGGGGACAGAGCACCCCGTGAGGCTGGTGTGGGAGCTGTGGCTGTGGGTTCCTGGGATCCACTCCAGCCCAGCTCCTGGGAGGTGCTGTTTGTAGAGCAGAAAGACTTCCCAGCCCTGAGCGTTATGGCAGGACAGCAACATGGCTTCAGATTCTTTGGACAGTCACACACGGGTTTTTAGTTTCAGACATTCTTCTGCCTCCACATTTCATGACCAAGAACTACCCCTTACCTGCCCCAGAGAGAAACCCATTCCACTCCCAAGACAAGATTCTTAAAACTGTCTTCCAAGCGGATATTTTAACATCCTGTAAAGAAATGAACTTCTTTTGCAGCAGGGCTAAATCCAAGTTATGCAGAAACAGTTTCTGCAGGAAAAGGGGCTTAATTAGAACATTTGAAGTCATTTTACAGTTAATCTTAGTTTTGATTTAGAGCACACTAATCTCCTCCTGAGGCCTGGGGTCAGGCAGGGGGCAGTTCACGCAGTTAAGTACATAAGGCTGCTCTAGGTGACTTAACTGGGTGTTGTCTTAACAAACCTCGACTAAAATAAAAGCTGCTGAACCCACGATTAAGAGCAGGGTGGTTGTGCTGAGCTGCCAGACAGTTGGACAGATTGCCAGAAACATTCAGTCATTAATTGGATTCTCTTGTCACTTGCTGCTGCCTGGGAGTGTCCTTGGAGCAAAGGCAGCCTCATTCATGAGCACAGCATGGAATGCAGCAGCTTAAGTCATTAGTGACCTCAGGAGCAGAAACATGAAGCAGAAACTAAACGCTGCTCAGACTTCAACCCCCTGCAAAAGCGACTGAAAAAAAAATAAATCAGGAAACGCACCTGAGCTCTCCAGCTTGGTTCCTCACCCAAGAATTTCCCTCCTGTTCTCACAGGAGATTCCAGATTGAGGAAAAACTCATCTGCTGTCCAGCCTCTGCCAACAGCACCTTTCCAGCAACCTTAACTTGGAGTGGGATTAACTTAAAGTGCTGAAGATTAGTTGAATTGTGCCCTTAATCAAGTCAAGAGTGAAGCTTCCAGGGCATTAGCAGAAGCAGGTTCTCCCTGGCAGCTTCCTGCCCAAGGGAGCTCAGCCAGGCAGCACTTCTCTTGGAGAAGCTGTTTTGAGTTTCTGAACTGTGATTCAGTTTATTTTATGGAAAGGCAGACTTGTGAAAAATAGCTGGACTTGAAACAAACCTATCCACTTGTCCCTTTCCTGTCACCTGCTCGTGGGGTGCACAGAAAGCTGTGGCTTAAAGAGTCTGTGACTGCTTAACCAAAGCTAAAGTTAAGCAGGGAGAAAAATAGGACCTAATTCTCTTTTAGATGGGCTCTAGGATGAGTGGGAAGTGACTGTGGCTTGCACAGCTGATAAACGAGGTGAAAGCTTGGCTTTCAGATGGAAATAAGTGGTTCATCTTGTAGCAATAGGAAGGAGCCTTAAGGGTCAGGGCTACTAATGTCATTTAATCAATGCACAGAGAGTGAAGATGACACTTGCTATGAAAATGCCATTCCTCAATCAGGTGTGGAGTTACACACTCCAGACACTGTGCTAACTGAGCCTCATGGGTGGTTATCTTAATTTCTCAGCTACCCATTCCAGTTAGTGGTGACATGATTTATGTGCAGAGCTCAGCCTGCCCACCCTGGGGTACATTCACCAACCCTGTCCAGCCCCCAACGTGGCACAGAGTGGTACAGACACAGATGTAGGAGTACAAAAATGATCCCCATGGCACAGGTAGGGTTATCCAGGGAAACCAGGCCAGCCTAAGCACTGTACACTTAGCCCTGCCCACCCTGAGGGGATGTGGTTGTTCCTCTTCAGGAGCAACCTTCAGAAGCCCCACCAGACATGCTCACACAGAAAGGAGCTGTAAAGCAGGAACAGAAACAAGAGGAGGCCTCTCCTACCCCAGTCCTAGTTTGACAAGTCAGGGCACTTGAGCATGGACAAAGATAAAATTCACCACCTGCCCCCTCTATTGGGAGTATGTTATCAAGACTAAAAATCACAAATCAAATTAAGTGAAGTCGTCAACTCCATCATCTCCCTTCTCACCTCTAGTTATGCAAAGCATTTCCAATGGTGTGTGGGCTTGAAGTAGGTAGCTCCTTTATAAAACTTGGGAATTTGGGGTACTGGTTCCTTAGGAACTGTAATATCTCCTGGGAAAGCACCATTTGTTTTGCCAGTATAAGACTATTGATCTGAGAAAGTTTTTGCCACAGAACCAGGAGGAGTTTGCTGCTAACAAAACCTAGTTTGGATTTTGTTCATGTCTCTCCCTTCAAAACACACAACCCTCTGACACCAGGTCCCCTGCTCAGACACTCCCTGTCCCTTGTAACCTTGGGTGGCAGCTCATCACTGTGTTCAGCTCAGCTTTGCTCATTTCTCTCCTCCCAACTCTCTCTTTACCCCCAGCCTGCACAAAATCAGGAAGGTGCCAGCTCCAAGAGAGCCCCAAGGGTACAACACTTTGCTGTGACATTCTGCATTGGGCATAAACTACAGAACCAGTTACCAGTGGTTGGAGTCAATTGTGGGCCCTTTGGGCTGGTCTTTTTTACTCTTCCTTCTCCTCCCTTTTGGAAATGTCCATTTCAAAGCTCATTTTTAAGACTAAAGAACTCTTTTGAAAGAATTTTGGCCCCATCATCCTTTAAATAAGTGGAACCCTTATACAGAAGCACAAAATAACAATCAGCACAGCAGAGGAGCAGCCTAGAAGGCACATCCCTAAAATCAACTGGGACAAATCATCAGGAGTTGGTACAGGGAAATAATGGATGCAGCTTTTCATCATTTAAATGTGGCTTTATAAATTTAGAAGCTTCCTAAAATGCTTCACATTCCCAACTGCAACAGGTATCACTATTCATGTAATAGACACCCAAAAACCCACTGAATTGGGCTTTTATGTTCCCACAGGCAATAAATTCTCAACCCAGGTCTGACCCTCTCTGATCTCCAACCTGCTGAAGGGATTAGATGCACTCAAAAAGGCAGTGTTCAGAGCTGGGGCTTGTATTTTACTGCTTACTTTGAAGAAGGGAGATTTGGCCACCTTAAACAACTATCTGTTGCATATTAAATATATGCAGGCATTACCATGGACTGCTTTTCCTCATGTGTGGAAGTATTTGCCAGGCTGCTAAGAGGAAACCTGTGCAAACACAGCCATGACAATGGGAACTGTTTTCTTATTTTCTTTTCTAAACCAGCTGTAGGTTTGTAGCAGAAGGCGCTTCCCAAAAAAACCCCACTGGAGATTTTAATCCTTGCTCTATGCTACGTGTTCTGGCAGATGTCATCTTACTGACCTGACTGGAGGGGCCTGGATGATACAAGAAAATCTAGAAAGTCATATCCAATCTGCCTTGGAACAAGCTGTTATTTGAGTTATTACAAATACAGGGATTTCAAACATGGAACACTAAAATACTGGCTTCTGAGCTTGCTGGTAACTTCATTCACATACAGATGGGACATATAAAGGTGTCTGTGATACTGAGTATTTGTAAAAACACACACATTTCTGCTGCTTCAGTCAGGAGGGGGGAAATTAATGACTTGTTTCCTCAGTGTTTCTGTCCCATGCAAAATATTATTGGGTAAAAGGCACCAAATCTAAAGAATCATACAAACTTAGCTCACAAAACTGTACTGGCAGGCAAAACTATCTCCCTGTTTTGTCTCCTGCTTATGTAGTTCTCACTCTGCAACCCCACTGATTCACTGGAGCTGGTCCTGGGGT